TGTGTGTGTGTGTGTGTGTGTGTGTGTGTGTGTGTGTGTGTGTGTGTTTTAAGCCCAGGGCCTTATACATATTAAGCAAGCATTTGCCACTATTCCCTACAAAATATTACTTGTTGGGGAGTGCTAGACATTGAGCTTGGGCATGGGGTATACTAAATACATACTCTTCTACTGAGCTATGGATTTAGCCCCTACTTTTTTTTTTTTTAAGTTTTGTTAGTACACTATGTTAGACAAATAGAACCATAAAATGAAAATTATGATAGATTTCTAAATATATATTACTTTTACATAAGAAAGCATACCCCTTGAGAAATGATTGAGGAAAATTACATGTAGTGGAGAGAACTTGGTTTTCCATCAGAGCTTGAATATAAAAATAATGTCCAGACTGGACATCGTGGCACATACCTGTAATCTCAACATTCAGGAAGCCGAGGCATGTTCAAGACCAGCCTGGCCTACATAGTGAGTCCCAAGAGAGCTGGGGCTATATATATTAAGACTTGACTCCAATCAGTCCATAGCCAAAAGTAAACAAAACCCAAAATATATCATCCATAAAATGGATAGGGGTAAGTATTATCCAGCCATAAAAGGAATGAGGTAGGGACACTGATGCTTGCTACCAGGCGAGCTAGCATCACAAACATTATGCTACGTGAGCAAAGCCAACTATAAAAAGGCCATTATTGTATGATTCCATTCATATAAAAAATCTGACATCTCCATAGAGACAGAAAACAGATTAGTAGTTGCCAGCGACTGGAGGGAAGGATTGGAGAGTGGCTACTTAGTAGAAATGTAGTTTGTTTTTGTTTTTTGCATGAAAATATTTCAGAAGTAGTTATAGCCAGAATAGCCTCGGGACATTGTGAATTTACTAAGTGCCACTGTATTGTTGCCTTTTAAGTAGCTGACTTAAAGGAATTCTACCTTTAGAAATCTTCCAAACAATGATGTGATGTTTTACTTGAGTATCAGTGTGAATTAGATAAGTGTTCAGTACAATTAGGATAAAGTTTCAATTGTGTACAGCCATCTTGCCTAATAGAAGGGGCTCAGTGATAGTCAACTTCATTCATTCTTATATCTGCAACCACATTACTGACCCAGAATCAAGGAGGCAGGGCTATTACTGAGCAGATGACATAGAGTTTAACATCTGAGGGTGACAATTGCTGGAGGGGAAGCCTCTGTTCCTTCCTTTTTCCTCAAGTAATACATTGATCACTTAGCTGAGTTTGGCGGATTTCAGATCCACAGACAGTGGTAAAAGCATAATAGTGGGAACATCGTTGTGTTAGTAGGAATAGTAACTGCTCCCCGACCAAGAGTAAAGGGTGTGGGCTAGGGAGATCACACAGCGACTGACGGGAGAATTACTCCCCTCCCCCGACACCCTCAGTGGTTCGGGGTCATTATTTATAATAGCGCCTGTTTATTAGTATCCACGGGATGCAAGGCTGGTTGCGTGCAAGGCACTTGGATTCTGAAGACAGGACTATTGCATATCTTAGAGATGCTGTGCATTTTATGCCTGGATTCAGGGTGACTGCGCAGCTCCCTCTCTATACACGGATGTTGATGCACCACAGGGTAGACCGTTAGCTGTGCATCGAATGAAGTGGCCTAGATGTCCAGTTTAGCATGTTCCCTGGAGGTTCTAGGTAACTTGAGGCTGTGCAGAAAAAGTACAAGCTGGAGTGCTGGATTTTTCAGGAAATTTAGAAGTAAAATAGCACTTTTTAGAAACAAAGCATAAGAATCCATCAAACGGCAAACACATACTTTAGGGCTTTCTGGTTTTTCGTTTTGTTTTTGTTTTGAGACAGGTCCTCCATGTAGCCTGAACTCGCTGTAAAGTCTAGGCTGGATTCAAACTCAGAGGTCCATCTGCTTCTGCCTTCTAAGTTCTGGGATTAAAGTCATATGCTGCCAGACCTGGCCAAACACACACTGATGTATTTTCTTCTTGAGGACAGGCAAGCCTTAGTATCTTTCTCTTTTGGACTAGAGAGTAGATAAGAACACTGGCCACTTTCCCCAGAAACCACATGGTGGACAGCTACCTCTAACTCCAGATGCCACCTGGGACACCAGGCAGGAATTGGGGGTACATTCAAACACCCATACATATTTTTAAAAAAAATTAAGAGTCTTTCTTTCCTTCTTTCTTTTTTTAAATCCCGACTCTTGGATTTACAGCTTTTCATGTTTTGTATTACGATTTAAGGTAGTTTCTTGTTAAAGTCAAATAAGATCAACTTGAGGTGTGGATATTTTGGAGAACTTTGTTCTGCATGCGCTGTCCACCTTCTGCTGAGACAAGGGCCATTACACCATGTATTTGAATATCCCAGGTGGCCTCTGACAGACTTGAGAATGCCAAAACCAAGCTGCAAATATTTTCCACAAGTGTTATTTTGGTACGACTGGCATTGTGTGATAAAATTTAAAATAAGTGATTTTTTTTTTCTTCCTCATATCAAAAAGGTTTACATTTCTAATCTGTTATCTGAGCTGGGCCTGCTGTCACTGTGATCGAACTGGGAGCCAGGCTTGTTCTCTCTTTGTGACAGCTGCTGTCTCCATTTCCAGGGCTACTTCGTGACAAGCTGGGCTACTACAATATGGCCTTTTACCTTGCCGGAATCCCTCCCTTCCTTGGAGGGCTTGTGCTGTGCTTAATCCCGTGGATTCATAGTAAGAAGCAAAGAGACATCACTAAGACCACCGGAGGGGAGAAGATGGAGAAAATGTTGGCGAACCATAACTCTCTACTGACAGGCTCATCTGGAATCTTCAAAAAAGAATCTGACTCTATTATTTAATGCCATACATACCTCCACTTGACTGGATTTGATTTTGAATTTTAAGCCAGTTTTCCTTTTATATGAATTGCAGATTTCTTATTTTTTTAATCATCCTCGAAATAGCACAAATGGGAAATATAACCTTTATTACTACATGAACCGTTTTCTCTCCCCCAAATAGCTTTGATAATTTCAGGGATCTGAGGGAAGAGACAGGCAAACATGTCTGAGAGTCAAGCACACGCTTTCGAAGCTATCTCAGTAAGGAGAAGCCTCGGGAGCCTCGAATGCTGTTAGCTGCAGTGTGCCTGGAGCCGAGCTGGCTGGGCAGCAGCGTGACTCACACCAGAAGCGTTTTGTCGGTTGCTTTCGTCTTTAGTTCCAGTGTTTTACTTTCTTCTGCAGTTTTGAACTTCGTGCAAAATTTAAGCCTGGATCCTAGATAATGAGAGGCCAACCTAAACCTCAAGTCTGTTAAGTGATTTAAGCTAAGAAATTAGGACACTCTGGCATGCTCCATCGTCCAGGGACCTCCTGCGAGCAGATGCCAATACATACAGTGGAAACAACAGATGAAGAGAGTCCTCTGACGTGAAGGCAGCAACCACTAACCCTTGTTCCCTTTGGTTTGTAGCATGTTTTACTCCAGTAGCCAGAAACACCCTGAATTTCTGATTTTGTATAAAAAAATAACGTAAAATAGAAAGTATAAAAGATATCCTGGCAATTTTAACGTGGAGCTTTTCTGACTTCTGGATTTATCAACACTGTATTTACATGTCTTTCCAGTTGGTAGAATGGATACAGATCAGAGGTGGTGCAGAACTGTTCTATCCATTTGAGAAATGTCTGATAGAAAGAATTTCTTGAACTGACTTATGGGATTAATGATTTTAAAATGTCATATATACTTATACAAAAAACAATTCCTAAATTTTCCAAAAAATTTTAGCAAAAATTGGCATTTGTGTTGCAGTCTTTTGCCAGTGACAGGGATGTATGGAGGAACCTGATGGCAGTTGCTTCCATTATCTGGATGTCGTGGAGTTTGTTTACACAAACTCAGAAGACTCCATTGTAACCAAGAGATAGAATCTTCCGGCACATATCGTATATACACCTTCTTTGACTGGAAAATTAATGTGATATTTATTTGCCATGTGTTTCTTATTAACTCCCACCATTTCCCCCACTTATGTCCAGACTGTAGAAGGCAAGTGATTAGCTTTGAGGACCAAAAATTAAAACCAAAGTTGGGCCATGACCCATTACTCACTTATAAAAACAGGAACACATCTTTGAAATTATATTGTAGACCTTTAAAAGTTAAAATGCCAGGTATCCTTAAATATTAGCCTATGTGAATATTAAATCATAGTTGAATGTAGCTTGCTTGCTCATGTGAAAAGAATATTATCTTTTCCTAAGCACCTCCAGGATCCTTCTGTTGCTAAGTTATCTGGGAGGTGAAACTTAATTTTGTGATTTTACTACTTGGCTTTCCCCCTTCTGTTTTTAGAAGATAGTCCTCCCTCTCTGCACTGATGGAGGGGTGGGGCTGCCTGGAGAGTTTAGAGACTTGTTCTTGTTGGCCAGGAGGAGAGAGTGCTGTAGACAAGTGGGGCTGTCAGTTGACAGCTGGAAGCTTTTCCTCTCAGTAACAGCTTCCTTACCTAACATCTTGGGAGAGTTCACAGCCTAAATACGAGGTATACATTTGTTTTAATGAGTTCTGAGTGATTGTAATTTATTTATTATTTATTTATTGTGAGGGAGTATTAGTAGATCTGACTTGCCTTCAGCTCTGTCCTGTGGCTTTAGACCTGTGTCAGGGGTGTGCTGCTGAGTGTGGCAGCGATTTTGATTTTGAAGATACAAGCTTACTGTGCTATACACACAGTTCACTAAGTAGCCCAGGCTGGCCTGGAGCTCACTGTGTAGACCAGGCTGACTTTGAGCTTACAAAGACCTGCCAGCCTCAGCCTCCCAAGTGCTGGGATTTAGCATGCTGATATAATTTATTATCAAGCCTTTCACTTACTTCTCCTCAGTTACCTGGCATCATTGACAGTGCTTTCAAAAACTAAGGCACTAGAGAGTTGGCTCCGCAGCTAAGAGCATTTTGCTGTTCCTAGAGAGGACCTGAGTTCAGTTTCCAGCAAATTACACGGTGGCTCACAACTGCCTGTAACACCAGTTCCCGGAGATCTAATACCCTCTTCTGAGCTCCTGCACGAATGTGGCACACATACACACACTCAGGCACATGCACACATACGTAAAAAGAAACATTGAAAAGGTATCAAAAACATACAGCTAAGATAATTAAACCTGCCATTATTAAACATCAGGGTGAGGTTTATTGATGTGAAGTTTAGAACCTCGTTCAAGAGTAGCATTTGTGAGTAGCTTGATGTGGGTGCTAGGACCTGAACTGCAGTTCTCTGGTGGACTAGTAAATGCTCTTTCTCCCTGTGGAGACAAGGTCTCCCTACACATCCTTGGCTGGCCTAGAAATCACTGTGTAGACCAGACTGGCCTCTAGCTCAAGATATGTATTTGCCTCTGCCTTTCTTGAGCTGGGATTTAAGGTGTGTGCCCCCACACCTAGCTGCTGTAAGCACTCTTAAGTGCTGAGCCGTCTCTCAAGGCCCCTGTTAAGTGTTTTAGATTGTGTGAGCACATACGTGCCTCTACCAAGATCTTTCCTAGTGGGTGAAAGTGACTTTCACAATACAGTCTACACCCACAAAACTGTCCTAAGGATCCAGGATTTGTTATTAATAGTGTTATATTTTGGACCCCTCACAGTGCTGGTGCCTCTACTAAAAATTAGATCAAGGTCGCTCTAAAACTTCATGTGCCCTTCAAAGTACCTTCAATTAAAAATGTATCTTTTGCTGTGTGGGTACTGCCCGCATGGCTGTGCATGCACAGGTGCAAACAGTGCTTGCAGAGCCGGGAGAGGGTAGCATGTCTGTCTGGAGTTACGGGAGGTTGTGAGCCACGCTGGGAGCACCGGGAACAGAACTCGGGTCTTCTGCACGAGCACTGTAACTACTGAGCCACCTCTCCAGCCCCCAGGTTTGTTTGTTTGTTTGGTTTTAAATACACGTGACAGCGGAAAACATGTGTAACCAACAAAACCTCACACCTGTCTTGTGCAGACATCTGAGAAAATTTTCCCCCAAAATCAGCTATTACTGATTTTTCTTAACACTTAATGATCTAAGTTTCATTTACAAGAAGATGATCACCAAATTTAGCCTTGGTACTGAACATGGCCTCCCAAGAGAATAACTTTAAAGAAAGTCCTTTCTTGGTGATTTTAGCGAAGAGCAAGCTGTTTAAGCTTACTCGTGGGTTGAGGGTCTAGCCCAGGTAAGGTGCTTGCCCAGCACACCCAAAGCCTGACTCACTTTAAGAAGTAAAACTGAAAAGGAGGGGGACATAGAGCAGATTTTAATTGGATTTGACCAAGGGGGTATTTTGAACATCTGAGCTATGTAACTGTTTTACAGCTAAAGCCAGTTTTTGGAGTCATTGTTCTTAAAATTTGGATAATAAGTTGCTTGCTCCCCACCCAGAAGTGCATGCAGGTCCCAGTTCTCGTGCTTCTGTATGCAGGATTCGGATAACTGGGGGTCGTGGGGTTTAGCTTAGTCCTGCTTTCTTTCACAGACTTTGCCTCAACTGTTTCATAGGAATGAGAAAATAACTCAAGGCCGCAGTTGCCTTTGTGACTATTAGGACCAGGCGCTCCCAGCTGGGCAGGCCGGGCTCAGTGTTCAGGATCATGGGTTGTGAGTACTGGGGCCTTACTCATTATGTCACATAGTTCCTCCAACAACAGCGTCTAGGGAGCGATTCCTCAGGGGAGTCAAATGATGGCACTGCACCGAATACCTTTGCCTTTCATCAGCTCCTCCCACCTGTGCATTCTAACTCAAAAGTCACAGCTGCAACAGACTGAACTTCGCAGTATTAAGCTTGGGTGTTTTAAGTATCTTTTGGCATCTGGCATTCTTCTCGTCTGCCTATCATAATGTTTATCTGAAGATTTTTAATTATTTTATGTTTTGAAAGTTCAAACTCTCTTAGCCAACCTAATATTCCAAATGTACCTAGTGCTCCATGTGTGAGCCCTTGTCCCTCCCTCTCCCTCTTCTACAGAGGGTACCAGCTTACCCTGTAGGTGTATGAATATAGCTGACTGTGTGACAGGGTCATGCTGGGTTTGACCAGCGTGGTATTTTCCTAGTTTTGAGAAATTGTTTCTTTTAAAATAATTTATAATTGATTTTTTAAAATGTGATTTCTATATTTAATAATTAGATAACCAAAACCTTTTAAATGAAGAGTGCTTTGTAATTTGGAGAATACAGTCCTTTTACTGTGGGGAAATGTGATATTCTCAGTAAATGCAATAAAATTTTTTAGCAAGTTTCTGTAAGACCTTGTGGTTGTATTTATGGAATTGTGGGGCTGGGGAATGACTGAAATGAACAGTCTGTGTTGAAGAAAAGTAAAGTGTATGTGTTTTATGGTGTGCTTTCCCAGCATGTTTGGATATTGCCATTGCTCGGGGAAGGGGGATGCCTTGACATGGTCTAAAAGTTCAAAGCGTTATGTGCTGAGGAGTACGCCCAGGGCCTTCCCATGCTAAGCAGGCCCTCCATTATTGGTTGCACCCAGTCCAGGCAGTTCTTTTTAGAGTCCCGTTTTATTCCAGCGACTAACATGTGGTCTTATGGATCAGTTCTTCACCTCTGAATTAGGGTTCCAGAACATTGAACCTACCTGGTTCTTCTGGCCGTTCCTTTCCTGTATCCTAGCCTCTTCTGAACACTGCGGTTGTATCAGGGCCTGACCTTTGACACACAGACCCCTTGTGTGTGGGGGTGAGGCAGAATTGCTGTTTTGAGACAGGTTCTCCCTGAAGCTCGTGCTGGGCTCTCGCCTCAGCCCCCTGAGTACTGGGATTACAAGCATGCGCCACTGTGCCAGCCAGCCAGACACCTCTTTGAACCCCTTCACACTCTCCTGGCCTCAGTTTCTGATTGCTGACATGGCCTTTCTCCCTTTATTCCCCCAACCTCGTGTTTCTCAAATTAATGACTCAGGAGCCGAGAGAACGAAAGAACACACCGGTTTAATCTATGGCCCAAACTGAGCTGTTAAGATTGTTTCTTTCAGTTTGTGGTGACTTTGGTTGTGTGGTCTGAACACACTCACCTCCGCTGCCATGTTCCTCTCACAGCCACCAATGGTACACCAGCAAGTCCATGTGGACTCTGTTCCAAACACACCCAGCATTTCTCCCCTCCCCACTCGGAGACAAGTCATCATTTTTGCTTCCCTGTGGTCTGTTTGCTGCCTGGCAGCCAGAATGATCCTGTCAAAATGCTAGATGAAGTCAGCTTTGCCTGAAATCATTCTCTGGTCCCTGTTTCTTCTCAGAGACTAAAGTCCTTGCACATCCCTGCATCTTCTGTCTCCTGCCATTTTCTCCTACTCTTTCCTCCTGTTTTACCCTGGCCTCCTGTCTGTCCTCCTGTCTGGATGTGGGGCTCTCCCACCAGGTCGCCTCCTGGATTTTCTAGCTCCTCCTATGGATGGATCTTTTCTCTAAAGTCCCCTTCCTCTGTGAAATTCTTAGTGAGCAACCCCTGATAACTTACGTTTCTTCCTGAGTATGCCCTTTGCAGTTGCCACCAGCATATTTTTATGCTATCTGCCTTTTCCGCTAGACTGTTAAGTTCTATAAGCCTAGGGCTTTTTTGTGTATCATTTTTTATCTTCAAAACTTTGAAAGGTATCCGGCATGAAATATGTGCTTAATAGTTAGTTGTTGAATATGTTTCTCAACTTCTCCACAGGAGTTTATTCGTTTTATCTTGGTGCTTTTAAAACTTCATGAGAAAATAGCCACATTGTGAGGATTGGGACCAGGGAAAAGGTGGCTGGGCATGTCCTGCCAGAATAGATAGAGGATTGCTTCTACCTGTGCAGGCTAGAGAGAGGAAGGAAAGTGGGAGCTAGGTCTCTCAGTGTTGGAGAAGGGAGGTCCGTATGGAAGGTGGAAGGCTAGAATCAGTGCTGGTGATGGGAACGGAGTTGGGTGCCTCTGTTACCTGGCTTTCTGTGTCTGCACCACGAGTCTTGAAACAGTGGCACTCAGCGATACAGTAGAATTAATGTCCCTCTATGTGGAAGCAAGACACGGGGGGAAGGGGAGGAAATAGACTCTTATTAAACAGAAGCCCCTCCCCAAATGTAGACAGGATCTTCCGTTTGTTCCTCCTCGCTGGAGGTGGCCTCACAGAGGCACCGAGAAATATGCTTTACATGCCTTAGCACCTTCTTGGGCTAATGAAATAGACAGTCAATGCTGTTACAGGCTGTGTACCTGGGGAGGCTGTCTGGTGGGATTGTGTTACTATTATCGCCTCCCAACATTAATTCTTCGAGGAAATGCTTGGTACAAGCAATAGGATCTTGCCATGTTGTGTTGGGCCTTGCTAACATTTTTCTTATCTTCTTAGCTCCTGGCTCCTGGGAGCGACCGGAAGGGTGGGTGGTGGGTCTGCCGCCAGCCTGTTCACCATTTTCAGAAAGCTTCCGGTTCCTGGGCAATATACTGATAACCTCTGAGTGTTTCATTGGCTCAGAAAAGCATCAGAAAGAGATGCGCAGGGAGGAAACCAGTTCACAGTGTGTGCAAAGAACCAAGCACAACTGTGAATTTCTTGACAACTGCCTAGTTGTATAAGGCACAGAAGACACCTGTGGGAGGGTGAGAATCCTCCAGCAGCTGGTACCCGTTAATGTAAAAACAAGCTCATTTGAAAGAAGGCACCCTGTGTGGGCAAAACAAGATGCTTCCAGAAGTAATAGATTAGTAAATGGAAATCCCAGTGCCGGGGAGGGCTGCCTGCCTGCAGGTCGCCGGGGGCTATTGCCGCTACGGCTGGCTGCTCACCACAACTGTGACTGTACAGAGCCGGATGCTACCCAGTTTCACACTAGTTCACAAAAGTCTGTTGGATCTTTAAATCTGATAATGTCTTTTTGACGAAGAGGGCAGATTTGGGAATAGCTACAGAAGGAAAGTTGGCAGGACTTGGTGACGTACTGAGGGGATGGACGGACGGAAGCCCCGGCGTGGGCGCAGCATGTGGTACCCACCCCAGGAGCGGGAGAAAGTTTCCAGAAAACGAGGTGAGCTCGGCTGGAGGCAAGAAAGGCAACTTCCTGTGAAGCTTCGTATTCCTACAGGCATCGTCTGCCTGCATCAGGCCTCGACACGCGGGGCAGGAGCGTGTTGCTTAGTTCCAGCGCTCAAAGCCGCGCACCGAGGCAACCTCTCCCACGTCGTCTTCCGCTCAAAGTGCTCCCAAAGACACCTTTCCAAAGGCTTAAATTAGACTAGCTGACCTTGAGTCCTAGCTAGGACCTTGAGTCCCAGCTTCTGTGTTTCCCTCTAACGCCGTGGTTACTACGCTGTGTAACTGTGTAATTTAATGGCAGCCTTCCCTCTCCTCTGTAAATTCTATGAAGGTAGCAGCCCCGTGCCTCTTGGTGAGCGGTTTCCCGTCACCTGCCACAGCCTGGCCTGCAAACAGTGTCCACGCTGTTGTCCACACATTTCTCTTTATATTTGTGCTAATAGTTGCTTCCTCTTGACATGCTCTTCTTCACTTACCCTTCCAAAACCCATCTGAAACGCCACCTTCTCTAGAACATTCTAAAACCCTCCCAAACAGGGTCAGTCCCATCCTTCCATTTGTCCTGGTGGCTCTTTGTTTATGTTGGTCTCAGCTCTACCTCAGCACAAACCCTGTACCCTATGATTAAATTATACAAGGTGCTTACCCAGCCTCTGGGAGACCCTGGGTTTGATCTGCAGTACTGCCAAAGAAAAATCAGCTAACATATATTACGTCAATTAAAATAAAACTCGGACTACTGTCTCTCCAGAATCTGGTTTTTAATTTTGATTTTTGAGAAGACTTTCTTATGTAGCCAGAACTGACCTTAAATTCATGATTCCTTTGCCTCAGTCTCCCAAATCCTGGGATTTGGCACAGACCACTAAGCTGACCAGTTTTGAAGGCCTTGTTATCAATCATCACCTTGAAGTTCCAGAGAAACAGTCACTGAAAAATTTAGAACATACTTTAGAAGTCAACCAGAAAAGTATTGTAACAGACTAATTCAAGATTTGTGGAGGATGAAGATGGAGAAAGAGAATGGAGAGTTGGGAACTGATGAGAGCCATTTCTGAGGTAAGCTGGAAAGAAATGAATACCAAATGGATGAAGCTGGAAAAAGTGAGTTACACAAAATAAAAGTCTAACATTCTTACGCTGGAAACCTGCAGGAGGAGAAGACAGTGGGAAGATAAAATTGAGAGAGTGATTATATAGATTTTTATTAAAAAAAAAATTGGTACTTTCTTTGTTACCCCCTTTTGTAAAATGAACCAATAGCTATAAGTAGTATGTGAATTTTCCCTCAATATGTCACACACACGCATACACACACTCATGTTTATGGAAATGGGTCACTTGAGAGAAGAAAACTTACAGTTAGTACCCAGTTGTGAGCCTGCCGTGCTCCAAATGATAGTTCCAACCCAGTGGCCAGAATGAGTCCATTAAAATCAGTGAGTCCCTTTCCTCAGGCCCTACTGGGCTACTGTGCCCCTCCCTACCCTCTTCAACCACTCTCCCTTTGATGAGACTGATGAGCCTGTCCACAAAGGCTCAGTTTTTGTTCTCATCTCTGGCCTCTAGGAAAGCCTGGGGCCAGGCACAGAGTCTCTTTAGCTTAGCCAGGCTAAGCTGAGCCCCTGCCAAGTGTGGTGACCTCCCATGGAATGGCTTGGTCTTCCTTCAGTCATCCTGAGTCTGGGGATGCTCAGGACTACAGGGAATGCAGTCTTTCATACCCTCTCGTTCCCCCCTGGGATGCCTCTTAGAAAACCTCCAACCTTGAGACAACCTGTCCAATCAAATTTGGCCTCATTATCCCTTAGATGACCAATACAAAAGGCACCCTTGATCCTAATATTATTCAGAATCTTTACAAATACTGTGAGCTATTGAGGAAACAGAGATTCAACATTCCCTATTTCTCTCCCCCCCCCCCCCCCGACCCATTTGTCTCTCCCCCACCCTCACTCAGTGCAAATGTCCTGTCTTCTAAGTACCATTGATGGCTTGGTAAGTTTGGTGCAAAATGGGAGCTAGAAACCCAGCAGGAGAGGGAGAAAGGGAAAGAGTGGGCCACACCCAGCGCATACTCCTCACTGGCTGGTGGCCTTCCTGCAGTGTCCACTGTCTTTAGCCAAACCTCAGATTTTCCTATATCCAAGCCTTCCTTGTTCTTAGCTTGCTGGATTCAGTTTTACAGTAATTCAGGTGTCTTTTGCTCTATGTTGTGTTATGC